ATGATTTCCTTTTTGCAGTATTTTAATGCATAATTAAATTTGATATCATTGTTTGTACTTAGGACGGTAAAAATCGATGACTTTATGCGACACATGATATGAGCTGTCCTTCAGCTGCCTTTCGATTCATGATTTTTGTAAGTCACTTCCTTTAATAAATTTTCTTTTCTTGATAAAATCTCTATTAATTATCATAGTGATGGCGTAGTGGTTAAAGCGGTCGCCACGCCGCTACCTACTGTTGCGGGTTCGATCCCCACACGGGACGACACTTTGCGTGATCCACAAATTGTTGCTCTGAGTCTGGGTGTTCTTTGTGTCCGTTTCATGTATGTTTGTATAGTCCCCTGAGACACAGGATATGTTACTAATGCGGGAGTAGTCTTATTAAAAAAAAGAAAAAATATTTGAACTCGTGCCATGTCCCAACAAATTTTATTTCTACCTCAACATTTAGGTGTAGTAATATATTATGTTACAATCTAGAGTTTTAAATTCTATGCACTAAAAAGATAAATGTGAATGTCAAAGACCCAAATAAAAATATGAGCGTCTTCACCTTCAAGTTCGTGTCCTTCTTTCTTTTATTACAATTTATGTAAATAAAAATTGAAGTTTTATTTATGCTCATGAGACTCATCATCTCATAGTTCATTTACGAGTGTCAAATATGTAATTCTAAAGTTCTAGTCAGACACGTTATACAGGTGGGTTTAAACGCCATCGAAACCAAAACTGCAAATATGTTTGTTTAGCTAGATAACCACCTATCAAGTTAAATACCAATCATAACATAACTAAATGTCACTTGTATGTGCTACGTATAAATAATAGAACCTTCATTTATATATCATATCCTAAACATTTAAGAATTTTAATATTCTTGTCACGATTTTTTTTTTGGTTACACTATAAGGGAGCGTTTGTACAGCCCTACGCTCGAGGCAATGTCCTACGGAGCACACTCAACAACATTGTGATGATTTAACAGGCTCACAATGAGCAAAAATAGTCCTTTCCGACACGCCCGCGTATGATATGTAGGTGCATTAATATATTGGTGTGTAAATTACTAACATTACTTACAACGTGGCTTCATTTCTTTTAAAAAAAGAATACATTCATCGCTTTAGTCGATGGTATAAATTCTACTATAAGTTTAACTTCTACTTTTTAAACGAACATTTAACCTTTTTCCTAATATGGTTATAGGAAATATATATCATGATGTTTGTTTACGACAAAATCAGACCTGCAACTGTCATAACTAACAACTAACTAATGAATATGATAGTGATGACGCCATTTAATTACCTATGGGTAGTTGGCTTTTAAATTCAGATACCTGACTGGTAAATTAATTGATATTAAAGCCACGGGACTCCGTTACCTTTTATAATGAAGGTCCCATAAGAGTTATGAAAAATAGGTTAACTAATTTTAAATAGGCGTCACAGCAATTGTATTTTAAACATGACTTTGCGTGCTCTGTCACACTTTTGGTTTTAGATTGCGTTCGCCTTGTCGTCATTTTACAGTTGTTATACATATAAAAATACTAGTAATAGGAATCACTAATTAAATTTGGTTGTAACGAAATACCTATAGTCATGTAACAATTTATAGCAAATATAGCAATGAACAATATGAGCATGGATCCGTACGTAGGAAGACTTTAAATTAGGTCTTATAAGGAAATATTGTTTAAATATAATGCAATGACTCAATAAAATAAACTTAAGATGATTCCGCAATTTAATTGTATTCAAAACATTTGCACTCAATAGCTCTAGCGAACTTAAAAGCGCAGGAAATGGCACATCACAGAACGTCAAACATCGATCCGTAACAATAGGAGAGAGTCTGCATTTGAATTTTGAACACGAGCTATTTTAAGATGGCGTCCCGAACTCGCCCGAGAGTTTACGACGATTCGCGAATTACGAGCCAATAAAGTGCGGTGTCGCCGACACGGCGCTACAGCCCTTAGAGCTCTTAATGTCTATATAATTGATATAAGCTATACTTAATAATGCTATCGATTTCTTTTATGGGTGATTTTATAGCTAACAGTTAATTATTTGATCCTTTTTTACCCTCAAATTATTTCCATGCATCCTTCAAAAGTTACATTAACGTCTTTTGTCCTTAAAATACTACGTCAAGAGCTTCAGAATATAACTTGTCTCTCAAAAATGCGTACAACTTAAAACCCAAGTCACATCTTCCACAAATCTGAGAAAGAGACCAGTGCTTACCCATTTCATAAATAATCCTCTTACTGGTCCAAAATTCAGTTATAATTCACAATTGGACCTTTAATATCCCGATACGACGGGTGAGCATTAATCAAATACATGAAACGGGTTTGGATAAAGGCGGGTATGTTAAATAAAATAATAAATAAGCGGCATTCCGTGAGATTTATTTCGAAGAAAAAAGCGAGGCAGGGTAAGAGCCGGGTCATGTCGCAGTATGTTTATTGTCCGCGCCGGTGTCGGCCCACAATGTACTCCTCTAATTAATGCTATATGTCTCTCCGAGATACTCGTACATCGTGTCCTGTGCATTTTCAACTCGTAACACTTTTTTCTAATCTTAAAGTACGATACATATATTATCCCGATCCACGGAACATTAAAAATATCCCTTTATCCAAAAATAATGTTATCATCAGATCAGACGTCAATTACCGAAAAACAATGCAAATGAGGTTGATGTACAATATCCTCAGTAGTAGTTGGTGCGATTGTTATCTCATGTCTATGGGAATCATGCGGAGGTTCCCATTAAAAAGGATGAGCGCTTACAGGTACAATACGACGAGAGTCAAACCTCTTCCCAACAACAATACTGCCCAGCATAATGGAAGCCAGCTGACGGGAGGTGCCTTAACGCCCGTTGTCATGGCGACCGTGCGAAGGGTGAACCTGCCTAACATATCACCGGCTACGACTAAAAACGGTCTTGACCCTCCTGATATCAGATTTTGGACTCTACCCCATAAAACCGAAGGATCCTTTTATGCGTCATGAGACATCACTTACGGCCTTTCGCTTTAATCGCGTTATGGGATACATGCATTGTGTTTTGGGTTCCATCTTTGCTTTTTAAAATTAGAATGTCTATTGTCATCTCGCTCTTTCATATGGAAGTTATCTAATCGCTCGTCTAACCACACTTCTATAATTATTCCATTGTCTGTTTATGACATTTTAAACAGTTTTTAAGTTTTTGTTGAAATAAGAGCGAACCATAAATGTTATTGCGGCCGTAAAACTGCAGTTTCGGTAATTTATAGCTCATGTAAATGTGGTATCAGTGCTTCGAGCGAGTCACATGATTTATATCATTCCTGCATATTTTTACTTTGTAATACGCTACAAGAAAAGTGTATTTTATATTTTTTTTATTAACATACATTATATTATTATTCGGCGGCTCCACGCTCTTGTGTATGCAGTTTAAATATTAAAAAAGTATAAAATTTTTATTAAGCTTAGTACCTACTAATCAATTCACTATTTTTATTTTATTTTAACTGAAATTATTTGACTAGAATAATAGTACCTAAATAATATCATCATTTCATTTATAATTTTAAGAAAGTAAAGGTAAAAGAACTTAAATAAATCGTAGTGCCATATACTTGTAGGAAATTAATATTTAATTTATGGAAATAATAGGCGTAACAAACAAGAAAATTGTGTGTTATATAAACACCATTAACGTCTGAATGTAGCTATAAGCGACATAAAGCTTTAGGCAGAGACAAGATTATTACAGACTTTATTAATATGTCTCCCTTTACACATTTACTTGACGTAAATAAGAGGTCTAGACTTTTAATAAGGCCTCTCTGTTATTTTAATATGAGTAATCGATATCAAAGTGACCATCTATTGGACACATTCTATACTATAACCATATAATTAATCAAAGTTTATTGCTGTTTCCATATTATTCACTTATATATACCTATTATATATATAATTTTCAAACAATGACTAAATTAACATTTTCATGAAAATACTTATTTATTGAATACACCAATTAAAATTATAAGAACCCATTAGCGGTATCGTAAGTACATTATTTAACTTGCTCAGGTAAGGCCCAGCCTACACGACCGGGCATTCCGACACTGTTGGTCTGCTATCAATTTTATACACGGTGGGAAGGCCATTTATCTTGCCTTATTTATTGGCTGACTCTAAAACCAGTTCCAAAACCCGACTGCTTTGTGGAACTCGGCATTTACCTATATAAGTATACCCTTTACAACACGAGCTTATTGAATGTACACATTTGCCTTTCGTAAATTTCTTAGGTATTATAATTAACGAAGTTAAATGAACCGTTAAAACTAAAAAGTATTACGTAGTAAATTTTTACGAGCTTAAAGGGTTAAACTTTCACGAATTCTGAGAAGACGTTTTCTACAGGAACAAAATAAAGGGACACCTTACAAAGCATTAGAAAGTTGCGCAACCCTTCTTTACGCATCCCTGACTTTTTTGTAGCGATTACTTTTTAGAGAGGACACTATTGTTCGCGGACCGTTTGCTCCTAACCCTTTCCGTTACTTTTTTGCATTGGCGATATTGTTTTTACTTATTTTTATTGTAAGCACAATGTTAGGCGACGAAAGTAGAAATCGTTTTGTCCGATGTCCCTAAGGGAAGCCCGCTCCGACTCCTGCGATTAATTCTCATCGATGTTGGCCTCAGTAGCGGAAAACTCTAAAATTAACTTTACTGCGCTATAAAATATTAATGAGCCATTAAAATCTAAAATGGTATAAAAGTGAAATTTAATGGTTTCTCTTCGAAGCCTTTGCGAATCGTAGCTGTTGAATTGTGATATATGACGCTATAAATTGATTTTAAAAACTTTTATTCAACTGTTACTTATAATTTATATCCGATTAACATTACTTTTTATCGTGCAAACATATTTTAAAACGGGATAGCTAATAACTTTGATCTCCTTGTTTCCAGGTCCAAATGGATGTCCACGAAGGCGAGGTCGACAGACGTACACGAGGTTCCAAACACTAGAACTAGAAAAGGAATTCCACTTCAATCACTACCTGACTCGCAGGCGCAGGATAGAGATCGCACATGCCTTGTGCCTCACAGAGAGACAGATCAAAATCTGGTTCCAGAATCGACGCATGAAGTTAAAGAAAGAACTGCGAGCCGTGAAAGAAATCAACGAGCAGGCCCGCAGAGACAGAGAGGAACAAGAAAGAATGAAACAGCAACAGCAAGAAAAGCAGGCCAAACTGGAGAACCAGCATCACGGACACCACGTGACCCACCATCACGACCCAATGAAGATGCCCATCGACAAGGGCTCCAACGACCTCCTCAAAGTGAACAAGGTCCCTACGTAAGGTGTTCGCGATGCCGTATAGGAAATCTTGACTGATTCTGTATCATATAGTGTGAGAGCAAGTGTTACGTCCATACGGACCTGCGGGCGTTAGTCGATTCGTATCCACTAGTTTTATGTTTTCGCGTCAGGGCGCAGGTTCCTCGTTGTGGAGGAGCCCGGCTCATTTCGTTTATGTAATAATGTTCCTTTAGTGCGAAGGACTTGCCTCGGTGTCGTTCGCGGGGTGGACAGGCTGGTGATGTGCTTTAAGCATTTATTTTGTTGCCATAACCACACCTTGTATTGCAATAATATTTTACTAAAATATACAAAAATGCGTTAGAATCGCTCTGAGGTTTACATAGGAGCCCGAGTGAATTTCGGTATTGTTAGTTAAGATTTTAAATCTGTGAATCTCATAGTATTTATTGCTACCACTTACTCTTAATCCATTATGTTATATTTTTTATTAATAGATATTATATTATGTACATTTTGATGTATATTTTATTATTTGTCTGCTGTTAGCAGACTGGTTATGTTTTGATGGTCACATTTTTTTTATGATTGTGAAATTTGTTGTATTTTATCAATTGATTTGGAAAGAGTTACTACTTTATTTTCTTTTGATTAACTAGATTGTGATTCACATCTGTAGTTAAGTCCATATACTTATTGTTATTTTGATTTTGACCCATTGATTTTGATAGTGTAATGTTATCGACAGGTATGAATTAAAATACCTGGGTAGCTAATTCCATAAGAACTTAAATTGTGTATATTTATAACAAAATACGTATGGAAGTACAATTGAAAATAGGTCTTCGTCATGACGAATATTGTGTTTTATACTTTTCGTCTTCAGTAATAACGAATATATAAATATAAACGGTATTTTTTGATAACTCTAGTTAAAATACCATGTCCATGAAATAGCAAATGAACAAACGAACAAAGATTGTGGATCGGTACCGCATACGGCGTGTTGTCCATGAATCCCGAGTCATCTGATGTTCAAAATTATATACGTAACGATGATACATATAATAAATTACAATAATGTGACTAAATATAAATTTTACACGTAATATTAAAAGTTGAGTAGTTTAAGTGTATTATAAATAGGTAAATAGATTCAACTTTGTATGAAGTATTGCTAAGGCTAGGTACAACAGAAACCAATGTACGGCGGAATACCCAGTGGTCACCGTTTATCACGGTCCAAAGTCGAAGTTAAGTTCCTTATTTCCAAGGAAAGTTAAAAGACGCCAATTGCGGGTACGAGACGACGCGTCAGAATTATTTTTTTGCAATTTAACGTAACCATATAAACATTTAAATTTTCCAGCTCAGTCATTTTATACATGATGTGCTCACAAATGCTTTCACAAAATGGAGCTTAAGTGAAACTGGAAAAATAAAAACGCGTTTTTCCGCATAAATGTGAGCTCTTTAACGTTGGCCGTTTTAGAATTATTCCACATACCATGTTCGCTTTCAATTCCACGTTGTGCCAAAATATTTAAAATAATTTATTAACTTGTACATTGCATCCGTGCCGCATACAAAAGTTCTATATTTTTTTTTATTTTCAACTCTATACGTAATAACTGAGCAAAAATTAGAATTTTAAAATTTAGTATTGATAGTCACCATTATACGTAAATTAATGTCAGGGTAGAATTAAAAAGATAAATTAATAGATAACGCTATTTAAATTGGAGTCTTTGCTTAATTTTTATAAAAGTCACCCTCTCAATATCTGTCCACTGAGTTATTTGGATTGTATATCTGTAGCGGTCTAAAGATAATATACGAGTAAAGAAATTAATGTCGTGATATCATTAGGAGAGTTTTAAGTCGTCGGTAGTTTAAAAACACCAAAATTATGAAGTTTCAAGTGTACCAAAGCAGTATAAAAAGATTATCAAGATTTTTCAAATTCAACGTGACTAATGTATCGAATATTTAACATTTAAAATGCAAAGTTAACAGTGATAAATATACATATTCAATAAATGTGTAAGTAGAAGAAGAAGTAGTATTTTACTTATTTGATAAATCCATCAGATTTCAATAAAATAGCTTATAAACCGTAAATTAATAAACCTGAAATTATCTGGACAGTGTTGGTACTAATAATATCAAGTCTACCAACGTCTACGTTCCGCCACGACGACTTATATTCAATGATTCTTGAAAATTTCTCACTTTAATTAAACATCTTACTGGTTAACCCGACGATACGTTAATTAGATTATAAAAACTGATATTGGTTTTATTGAAATTACCCTAGTACATGTGCAATAATTTCAATCCACATTATTTCATTAAACTCGTAGTCCCTTAAGATTACGTACATATTAAGGTTGTCGTTAGTAATGTAACTTTATCCCATCTTAATTTTAAATATATATTAAAATCGAGAATAAAAAATCGAACAAAATGTACTTAAGTAACTTCGAGTTAAGTAGGCTTTATAAATTATAAAACGCATAGTAATTAAAAATATCGTAGACACTTGTAATTAAAAATTAAGCGTAAATCCGATGGTTAGTAATTGAATTTAAAAGCGCTTATTCATTATTTAGTATTGTTCGTAGACGGTCTTTGAAAGGTGAATGAAAGAAGCTAGATGAACCTGGGACGTACACACTTTAAACTGGGCCCTTATGTCTTATGACAGTAATCTAAATATCTGTGTTAATACTAAGAAGAGCCACAGCCATCATACAAACCTTATAAATTACTGAACTCTTAAAAGCTTTTGTCAAGTTAAAGGAAAGAGGACTAAAATAACATAAGATTGATCAAGAAATCTCTATATTTTTCCACACCGCTTTACTTTTCTAGATCTAATTAATAAGTAAACCAATTTCACATAAAAGCATGTCCTATTTGAAAGGCTGTATTTAAAACGAGTGGCACAGTTCATTTCACAGGCGAATCAAGGTACGTGAGTGAAATTATATGGATATCGGAAGATCGCGTTGTGATATCATGATATTGGAATATTATTTTTGTTATCGAACGTAAGGGCCCGCATACGCTGTTGAAATTGAATGTTACACACTGCGTGTATACGACTTAAATTGTTATTTCTGCATTTGAAAACTTAGATAATTGTTTTATCGGTTAATGAGTATTGTTTGGGACTGTGCAAAGTTACAAAATAGGCTACAGGTTTCGATATTTCGATGTGTGAGCAGCTTCCTCTTAACTATCCATTAAGTTTCGCGTGTAACAATAGGTAAATCTTGTAACATAGTAAAGATACTTGTGTAGGTATGTACGTCCGATGATTTATGTCAGGTACACCTTTATTGTTTCTGCCTCGTAAATAACTGTAATTCACAGTGAAACAATGAGCAATTTGCTAAATAGATTATATATGTCCTCCATCCGTAATGCTGTCTTGCCATATTGCTAGTGTTTTGTAGACTGTACGAGTATATAGGTAACAATATACCTAACCGAACATAAAATATATCAATATTAATATTAATTAAACTAATGCGCACGTTCATTTATCGTGTTCTTCCCAATTATTCCAATATTCTCCTTTGACAATTGTTTTGGACATTCTGTTTTATTAAGTTTCGTATTTGTTGATTTGTCCAGGTTATGCTTTTTTTCAAAGTTCTGTTTATTATTGATAACAAGACTTCTGTTCTCTTAGTTTTATATCCTAGAGAAACGATCAATTTTTATCTTTAATATAAATGTAGTTATGTATCTATGTACCTATATCTATATTTTTGAAGATAGTAATTAAAATCGTCTAAAAAGTTAAGTAATTGTAAATAGTCGTGAAAGTTTTATGTGGCGCATTTTTTTTTTGTTTATTTTTTTGTTTACGTTATGTATTTTATGTATTGAAATGTTTCGTATGCCTGTGCAATTTGACCACGTTAATAGGAGCCCTGATATATAAATAAGCACGAATTCGTGCTGGGTTCAAGTTTAATATGGTCTTTCCGACATTGGTTGTGAGTCGTACGCAGCTGCTACGGAATGGTCAGGTTTAAATGGACGGGGTAGTAATTATTAACTGTCCTGTATAACTTGAGCTGTTTTGAGTACACTAGTGATCCTTTTTAACGTGGTCAAGTAAAATCCGAAGGTACGATTCAACGTGACTGTGTCGTGTTATATAAGCAAATAGTTGGGTGATTGTATATGAAGCCCGCATTCAATATTGTAATATTAATTTCAGAAATTCAAGAGAATAAAGAGTTAATAAAATTATTGCTTTCTGATTTTTCTTTCTCATTCCTTTAAATGAAATGTTATTTAAAAGCAAAATTTAATGAATTATATTCACATTAACATAAATTATGTACCTACATGTAGTTATAGGTATAAAAAGCTTAAGCATATGTCTTGGATAATTCACATCAAGTCTTTGTTGGGTTCGTTTCCATCGCCAATCTTATTTAGTAGAGGAACTGACTATGGGTTTGGGGATGAACGAATACTAATGACTAACTTTGGGGTCATCAGGGTTGTTATATATATTCGAAAAAAATTTAAGATCAAGGATTCTTTTAGGATTAACATGAGTTTTATTTGACTGGTTTACAAATGGTGAGATAGAAACAAAGGATGAGGTAAAGTATTTTGACTGAAAAAGTGGCTGAGAAATACAGTCTGAAATTAAACAGTATCATGTAAATATGGAAATGAGTTAGGTACCGTGAATTTTATATTTGTATGTTTAACACCGAAAGTATTATATAAGATACAAAATGGTGAAAACACAATAATTGCCTTGAATTTCCCGTGACGTTTTTAAAATAAAAACGACGTTTACTATTTCCTTTTTGTTAAACATGAGCATTTCACAGCAATTATTAATCATAGGTACTTGATTGAAAGTCTCTGCATAATTAAAACAAATACAATAGAAAATACTGTATTTAACACAAGAAGTTTTCAGCCTATATTTTCTCGTTTCCATTTTCAGTTTTATTCATTCACTTCAAGACTTTTGAGAGCATATTTTTTCTACTTTATTTT